CTGCTCCAGTTCTTCCTGCAGCACCTTTCCCTTGTGATCTCCAGAAACAAGCTGAGGTGTGCTGAGTGCTGATGTCTGCTGCTCTGCAGACCCAAGGGGAGGTGCTCAGGGTCTGGCAGCAGAATGGGAGCTCGGTGCTGTTGGCTCAGGTGCTTGGGTTAGGGGCCTGCGTGGTCCTTCCACAAAAGGGAACCTGGTATGACAGCCTCCTAACCCCTCAAAGAGGCCTGGACTGGGACACTGCTCTCATCCCATTTGCTAAGCTGATGACAGGACCTTGCCTGGGTAAGCAGAGGGGTGCAGCATTGTCCTGGACTCTCAGGGTGAGCACCCAGGCTTACAGTGCCAGCCATTTCCTACATCCCCTGCCTTAACTCAGCACTCTGCAGCTCTCCCTTCTTCCTGGACTTTGGCCGAATGTTCTTTGCACAACTTGGAACCGCTTTAATGGATGTGTGGCACAGGAGACTGGCCACACATGCATATATTCATATGCACCAAGATGAAGGCACCTCACACTACCTGGCCATGGGAGAGGAGGAAAATTTGGTCAGGGAAAACTCAGCAAGGTGCTTTTGGTGCTTTCAACTAGAAAGCCTGACCGAAGACAAATATTTACTTTTCATTGTTTCTCTTCTGTGAGCAACCCACCCAAAGCAAACAGTATGGAAATCAGAGTTCTATACCTCTTGCAAAGCACTGGCAGTAAAGCACAGACTGTATCACCGATATCAATTGCTTTCTAAACAGAATAAGAGAAATTATCTGAATGTTCATGAGTTCACAGAGACTCATGAAAAATTCTTACTATGGAGGAGTTCAGAAAAATTATAGCAAAGTGCTGTTCATATGAACTTAATTATCATGCATTTAAAAAACCTCTGCACAAAAATATGAAGTTTATGTATATGTATGAAATAATTTACATGTCTGGCAGCTGATTTCCCCCTACATGTAAATGTTACATAAATCAGAAACTCCCTTCTTGGCAATTCTCGTGCTCTGATGCTGCACACTTTACTAGGTAGTTTCTCTGGAGGTACATGATGCTGGTACCCTGGTGCTCTCAGAATAAGAGCTTTGAGATCACCATACCTCCAAAAGTCTTTCACTTCCTCACCAGAAAGTAGATTTTAGGTTTTCCCTCCTTTTCCGGACCTTGAAGAACTCCCTTTATGAAAGAATGAGTATAAATGTTTTCCATCCTACATCAGATCAGAACAATAGTCTAGCTTTTATGTGCATGTGTACATCCATAGGCAGATGAACAAATTAGACATCACAATCTAATCTGTAATGTAGTACATTTTCTACATGCCAAGACAAAGGGCTCTAGAAGATTATTCTTAATATATGATGGAATACATTCTCCTAATTCAAGTAACTTTCTAGACTCTCTGCTTGTGAGTGTACTTTCTCACTCACATGTTCATATGAAGACAGAGATGAGACACACCCCAGGTATGTGGCCTGCAGGTTAATCTTGGGCTAAACCAAAAAGAATTGTAGCTGAGAAACACAGGAAGTACTACAATTATCTGAGGTACACAGACTCAAGGTCAAACCCAGTCAAAGCCCCTTGAAAGAACATGTACAAATATGTAAGGAATTGCAGCATGTGTGAATAGCGTGCCTTAAAGCAAACTCAAAATACAGCTCGATTCTAAGCAGAAAGTCAAGACCAGGAAAAGTAATGAAAAATCCTAATTTAACCTAATATTAATTATTTTACAAGAAAGAAATATATTCAGTAACTCAGGCTCAAAAGATCTATTTCTAGTGTCCAGAAACACTTTTGGTCATACTGTGTCTTAAGTCATAGTGGTCTGCTCTAAACCAAAAAAAAGCTAACCAGACTCTGTAAACACATAGGCATTCATGAGCCCCCAAAACACCAGAGTTTTCATAAAGAATCTACCGAAAGCAAATCCCAAATACAGATTCAAATATCAATTGAATTTTAATGTTGCTGAACTGAAAAAAATTACTCTTCTTCAGAACACTAGCAATGAAAGTAAAATAGACCTAGCTCCTTATTTATTACTCTGTTTTTCAAACACTTGAAGAAATGGTTCATTCATCTTCATTTCATATGTAAAAACAGGTAGTGAAATTAAGAACAATGCCTCCCCAGAGCATACTTTAATAAAGGATATTCCAAAAGGAAAATGAACAGAGCCATATGTAAGTAGTATAATCACAAGTATGCCCACAAGACACTTCTTCTCTGGAAAGGGACATGAGATTCCTTGCTTAAAAGACAATCTTGCTACCATCCTTTTACAGCTACAATATAATCACTGCCTAATAATTTTTGATAATTGACTCAATATCCTAATTCCAGTAGACAAGCTGTGAGAGTTTCTTTAAAAGAAGACAACATAAAAGACTGTGCAAGATGCCTGTTACAATGATCCATGAAGCATTTGCTAGGCTGCATTTACCATCCACAAGCTGACAGGCAAAACCAACTTTGTGTCAGCACTGAATTATTTTTTTAGAGGATGCTACTTGTCAGGGACAAAAACAGGTTTTTAGGTCTAAGTTCTTGGCTTTTTTTCCTTTAGAAATTGCATTTCCTTTAGAAATATTGACATAAAGTATTCTCACTCAGGATGAATATGGGCATAGATATAGATATTCAGGATATAGAAATAACTTCCATTACAGACATTCACAAATCTTGTTTTTTTTAAAAAAAATACCCAAACTTATTATTAGCATTTATATACTTATTGTATTCTGCAACAGTCTAAAAATTTACACAATCGCTATCCTTGTCAGGAAATTAGGTCTGTAAGGCAGTAATCATTCAATTGTCTGGGACATGTCTCTTCACATGTCTCTTCAAAACTTCACAGTTAAGATTTTCCAAACTCTCAAAATGTAGAAGGTTTGTAAAAGTCAAGGAGACACAACATCTGGATTTGCTCCCAGCTGTGGCTACCAACCAAGTGATCATGTACCTCTTCAAGGATGGCATATGAAACCTCAAACAACCCATGAGAACATAATCAGTAAAAGACTTTTCTAAGTCTCAGTTTCCCTAGAGCTTCTGTGCTTAAGGCATGTCTTGCATTTTTACAATACCATTTAGCCAGAAAAGCAAGAGAGCTAATAAAGCCACTTTTCAGAATTAAATTGGCAGATAAGTTGAGATCATTCCACCCACCATGGAAAATGCATATATGATTACAAAATAACGGAACAAAATAAGATAAAAATAATAGTTGAAATAGTTTAAATAATAGTTTAAATTATAGTTTTTATATAAATTAAGCTTCTTGCGTAGGTAACACAATCCAATACATAAGACACAGAAGTCAAAGCAGCATGGCCAGAAGACTTATTTCAGCTGGATTCTTTTAATCTTAGATGAGATAACAACACAACTAATCTTATTTAAATTCCATTATTGGGCAGGCTTTGCCACAAGATCATTATTGGCTTTTTAGTTTTCTGCAATTTCTGCAAAAACTTCAAAAGCACATACTTTTATGGTTTTTTTCAGTGGAAGTCAGAAAATAAGAAATGTTTTCACACCAAGTTTTTGATAAAGACTCCTAATATGACAGAACAACACCTGTCTTTTATTGCTTATTGAGTAAGATAACTACCAGGTATAAACAGGCTTGTGTAGTAAAATCTCCTTTCAAAATGGAAATAACCTAACTTTTATGCAAAGACCTTTCCTGCGTCTATGCAGATGCTTTTGCACTAACTCAGCAGAGAGGAAAATAAGCCAGTTGCCAAGACACCAACACCATTTCACACAGCACCTGCTGCAAAGTGTTCTCTAGAGCTCTGCTGAGTAAGTGACCTGATGCAATCCTGAAGAACTGAGGAAATACCACAGGATGACAGAGTAAAAAGTTTTTCCTTTTCTCTGAGTATGTATTCAAAAATTACCACTATCAACAAAATTCTGAGATATCTTACTAGCTTTTCAAACAAAGACACATGTACTCATGAACACAAGGGCACTACTTTTGAGTGACAGTTAAGAAACTAGTGAAAAGGAATTGCCAAATCATTACTGTAATTTCATTTAAAAAAAAAAGAAACAAACAGGTAATTGTATATCTTAAACAGCAGTTTTAAGAAACAAGAAATGTTTTACCTTTCATGAAGCTTAAAACCATCAGATTTACTATTGAAAATACAGCAAAGTTATCAATTTCAAAACGCAAATTTCCAGCTCTTCCTGAATAGTCAGAAGAGAATTGATTCCATCTAGTGGCCGAACAGAGTTACAGACGCTCAGAGAGCTTTCATGTTCCTTGCCTATTATAATTTGTGTCCCTGACAGGACGAGAGGTACCGTCATCAAACACTGCACTGCACTTCACCTTATACAGAGATTCTGACAGTACAGAGATGGTGAAAACTGTTCTATACAAATCAAGACCCATAAGATGCTTCTCATCACGGCATTCTAGTGACATACATCTTGCTAACTTGTGAACCCCAAGGATCTTCCTTCAGAAGCTTATTTGCTCAAATGTCTTTTATGTTTTGTATTCTGCCAATTAGAGTCAAAAGTATCTGTATGAGATACTTGCAGATTCCTGTACTCTACTTTGGATTCTTGCAGACTTTAGTGGTATATGTTTCTGTTGTCATAAATACCCATACAAAGTGCAGTTGAGCTATTAACTCCACTGTGGGGAGAAGTTTTTCCTAAGAAAAAGCCTCAGCCTCTAACAGGGTGGGGAATTTAACCCAGCTGTCCTGGATACTTTTCTTGTGTCCAAACCACCAAACTGTCTTTTCCCTGATGTCCCAAAATTACACATTTACCCTCTGCACCTCAATTTTTCTCCTCCTTCTGGCTCTGAGCTCTACAAAACCCTGAAAACAAACAATGGACAGTTTTGAGCATGGAAAGAATACTTTGGCCACCCACCACACAACACTGAAATCATCAATGCAGATTCACTTGAGTCTCTTACACCCACTAGGTGCTTTTGTAAATACAAAAAATAAATGGCAAGACCTACCTGTAATTTGTGTTGTCATAGAAACAACCAGTGAAAAATTCAAAGCTACCATGGAAATAGTAATAGAGTAATTAGTGCCTGGTTGCAAATCTAAACAAACTTCAGGAGCTTGTTTGTGTGTGGAAAGTTCGAAGGTCATTTCATGAAGGAAGTTCTTCTGATACCAACGCTGGCCTTGCACGTGAAACTGTAACCAAACAATCACAGCATGAAAACTGAAATGTTATAATACAATACTTGCATTCAGCCATCTCATGCTCTTAATTAGAAGAAACAGCAGAAGAGAGCACTGCTCATGATGTGTCAAAATTGTAGCATTGACAGTTACTCAAATTCCAATCCTTCTAAAAATCTTGATCAGATCTTATATGTTCCTGGTTCTTTCAGTTCTCTTCCTAGTCTATCCTCTTTTTTATTAATTTCCCCTAGACCATATTTCTTGCTAACATATAGGCTTCCAGTAACAGCTCACTTTTATTGAAGTATACCCTCCGGGTGAATTATAAAAGTAAGTTCATGTGAACACCTTTCCAGTTTCACCCTGAGGATCAAGACAAAATCAAGTTATTTTGACCCACAACAAAATGCCAGCTACACTCTGGGATGTCTACAGACACCTATATCTCCAGGGAAATTTACAGGCTCATGGGTTCTTTTTTTTCTGTTTCAGTAGGATTCCCTGTTTTATCGTTGAAGACTGGAATGATCATGAAGTCAGTAACTTAAGGTCTCTACTGATCAGATGATTTCTCTGTTAATAAAAACAAAAATGCCTGCTGGATATGAATTGTGCATTAAGTTTACTTTAAATATATCCTATGCCTTCAGATAATCTCTTACTGTGTCCTGGCACAGAGAAACTTGAGACAACAGCAGGTGGTCAAGCGTCCTGGCAGAAGTAGCTCATGTAGGAATTCTCCACTGGGATAAGGACAGACTTAAGGTGTACCACAAGGCAAAGAAAACTGACTCAGTGGAACTGGAATAAAGCTGTGTGAATTGTTTGCCTGAACATGGCAAATTTGAAAGTACAGATAAGAAGAGCAAATTAAGATTAATATGGGGAAAATAAGCAATAAGCAGGGGACTACAAGAGAGCATGGTCTTTCTTTGGCTGCTGTGCAAGATTATTCTTTGGGGTTTTATGAGACATTATTATAAGAAGGAACACTGTGAAGAGTGAGTGTTTGAAAAATTAGGTTTTTGATTGATAAAAATTGCTTTTTAGAGTCAAAATACTTACTGAGTATTTGTCTTCCACATCAGTTCCCCTGACATTTCTCCTCCATTTCAAGCAGGTATCATTAAAAACTAATACATTATTGAAAGCTTCCTTTACTGTAGAGACAATTAAAAAAGAGATCAACTTACTTTAAAAACTCTACCTCCTTCAACTTCATTGAATATGAGTAGCAGAGAATAAAATTTCTTAAAAGTTTTAAATTTCCTTCTCTTCTGAGAAAGAGAGGTAGGCTATTATTTCTTTTTGAATGAACAAACAGGATAAGTAAAGCATGACTATTTTCCAGAGAAACCAGCTTTTGGAAAAACCCAAGCATGCTATTCAGGAAATCTAACACACGATTTACTTTTACTTTACTACTTTACAGGTCTAGAAGGTTATAATGACAGAAAGATCAAGGGTTCAGGCCTCCTGATGTAAATAAAATTATCACAGAAAGATTTGTCATAGTTGATGCCCTTTAGGAAAAAGCATGTAAGCATACTTTTTGTGGATTCCAAAAGCAATTATTGCTCAAGGTCTGTCTCACCAGACTTAGTATGTCAGAAGACAAGCCAAAGTCTCCACGACTAAAATACTACAGAAATCCACTGTTGGAACATGACTTCTGTACAGTTGCTGATAAGTGCCAGAACCCTGTTAATCACTGGTAAACACAGCAGCATTGTCTGTAATGCTTATACCACTTAGATTAGTATCACATAGCCAAGCAACAGGAAATTCTCCTACAGGCAGAGAACCATATTTCAAGGCAAAAAATAGAAACCAGTAGGCACTGTACCATGACAAAAATTCTGTACCAATCCTGCCTCAGCCAGAAGACAAGTCCTGAAAAAACTAATTTGCCAAATCTTTCTGAGGGGTACTTTGTGGTACTGCTGTTCTTGCTCAAAGAGTCAATGGCCAAGTGAGCAGAAAGAAAAACATCTAGCAGAAAAAGAGGATGCTGACAGTGTCTATATGCACGTAGCCAGCATAAAGAATTATGAAGTCTAGGAAACAGCCCCTTTTCCTGTCTGTTAGACTCAAATCAGTGAACTCTGCAGCACAGTAAGTTCTTTTATAAGCAGATAGAATACAAAATACAACTTACCCTTTGTCTGAATTGCTACTGTAACTGAGACAGTGATGTTTGTAGAAGAAATGGTGGTTATATTCACAATGTAATTACTTCCAGAGTCCAGATCTAAACACACCTTTGGATTATCTTCACTTGTACTGATGTTAAATATCATATCTTCCGAGAATATCTTCTCATCCAATCTTTGGCCCAGTATATGAAACTATTGAAACAAAGACAATAGTGCAATTTGTTGTGGCTCAAAAATTCAGAATACTAGTTTATTTAATCCTATAGGTTCTTAAAGGGAACACAGGATTACACCTGTTTTAGAGTATCATTTCAAGGAAAATATATGGGTTTTTTTACTAGCTATGGGATGTCTTAATAAACTAGATCTTTAGTTCTTCTGGCTGTTAAAATTATTCATATTATTACATATATTTCTACAACAGACAGAAGGAACCTATTATGGAATCTAACCCAATCTATTAGGAACCTAATCTATTGTGGATCCTACAAAGATCTCCAACTCAAATAGTAATGTGTGAGCAAATATTGTTTCTTGTTTAGAGCACACAGATAAAAGGTGCATCTACTTGTTACTTTCTTTCCCTTTTGCTAGTTTTTCCCCCTTGCCCCACAGAAGCAGTAGTAAGACAAAACTCCAAACAGTAGACAATTTTGTCTAAGATTGTCCCAGTGCAGTGAAAAAGAAACATGTTGCTTGTATGACATGAAGGGACAGACAAAGCTCACCTTCTCTGGCTATTCTGAAGTGTCTTTCAGATGGCAGAATTCAGGAAAAACATGTGAAAAGAGCACATTATATCAGAGATCCACAGCTTGCCAGTTACCATTGGGTACATAAAAAACAGTTTTGACCTGTCAGGGGAACTGGGAAGCTGTGTTTTCAATCTCAGCAGTGCTCAATAAAAGTATACAAACTAAAAATACTTTGATTATAACATAGGAGGAGAAAGATGGGTAGTTTTCCAAAATTATTACCCAACCTTGAAATGTTTTCCACATTAATGTACTTACCCCTGACACCCTAAACAATCCCTTTTATTTTTTTTCCTTATACATACAAAAAAAAGGAAAAAAACCCAAAACCAAATAACACACACACACAAACCCCTTTCTTGGGATGTTATTGTGAAAACATGGAAATTCTTATCATGCTGTTTTGGCCTTCAATAACACTGACCAAACATTTGTTTCTGAGAATTTATGCCCTAAGTTTTATTCTTATGTTCATTTAGTTTTAAAAAAAATAATAAAAAAATAAAATTTAAAAAAAATTAATTTAAATTTCAAAAAAATTAGAAGAGAAAAAAACTCAGTCCTTACAAAGGCTGTTTTAAATTTCCAAGAAAAATTGTTCTAAAATGTTCAGATATACATTAGTTGAAACTTTTGAGCAAGGCACACTATTTCAATACACCTTGCATTTTTAAGACATGTTATATCCAATATCTGCAAGTGAGACACAGTCTAGTTGAGATGCTTGTCCAAGACAGGGACAGAGCTCAAGTTCTGCAGTGTTTTCTGTGGCAATGTGAGCTTGAGCTCTTCAATGGAACTTCACTAAACATAAACTTGTGCTGAACCTCTTTTCAAGCAGGCATTTAGGTGATTTACTGGAATGAGACCCTGAACCATGAGTTTTTCACCTACCTTTAGGTGAAATTTTTTTCTTTCCTAACACAGCCAGTCACCTCCTGGTGCTCCACGGGGAAGACTGAGACAAACTGCCATACCAACAAAACCCACAATACAAATATCCACTGCTGAAGCAGCAGATATAACCAGGACAAAGTTACCCCCAATCTCAAATACTTCCATTATTACTTACTGTGTATGTTTCCTGCATTCCCAGTCTTCCAGTTTTCCTTTGCCATCTCACACATGTTTCATTGAATATGGATAAATTACTAAATAATTCCTCCTCTGTGACCAAAAGCATGAACACAGAAAGAAAATCATTACTTCTCATGCATATCTTATGTTTGGAGCAATTGTTTATTCCTTAAATTTCTGTGGTTTGGTCTTGGAGTTTTTTTTGTTTTACTTTTTTTGTCCAAACAAGAAAAAACCTAAGAAGGTAAGCACATGTTAGGTAGAAGGCTTTCTCTTAACTGTGTTGGTTCCTAAAATTTAAAATAACAGGCTAACTGAAAAAGCATGTCCTGAGCTAAAGACTGTGAACTCTTTAAACATACAGCCAGCATTACATAAACTGACCCAAGGAACTTTTAAGAAAGCTTCCGTGTTAGACTGGAAAAGAGTTTATTTGTAGTGGAATCAAATTTTTGGTTCATTAAAAAGTGACTCAAGTCACTTTTTAAAAGGTGTTGGCATTTTTTTTCTTGTTGCAGAATAAATAAAATTAAATAACACAGCAGAACACTTTTCAAAATAAACAGTAGATTAAAACAATGGAGCCCACAGAACCAAGCATGTAGGAAGTACAGCTCTAGCAACCAGAGATACATCCCTCAACACACATCTGTTAATTTACACACTTAGAAGAGCAGGCTTTCTCAGAGACAAAGCACAGCTAGGAAGGTCAGCTCATTCATGCTTTTTTCCAGCAGCTCTCTCATTGCTGTCATTAGACACAGTGCAGTTGCTCTCACATGAGGAGATAAGATTCTCGCATAGCTAAGAGCAAAGCTCCTTCTGGTCACAACTCAGATTGACAGTGAGCATACTTACTCCTTTACTTCACCAGCCTTCAAATTGTCATTCTTTTGTCCTACTATCATATTTTTTTATTATATTCACTATATGACCAAGGTCATACCAACCCAACCTGATATAGAATCTAAGCTGAAAAACACTTAGTAACCGCTGAAAAATCGAAAGGTATTTATAGGACAGCATGCTGGATACTTCAGGGAATATCCACAAAATAGTTAGTGTATTGTTCTGATGTTAAAGCAAGCACAGGTCAGGGCACTCTTCCTCTGTATATAAACTTCATTACCATCTAACAGGGGCCTTCTTGTAGCATGTGGGTATCAAGCTGGCACTAAAATAAATCAGTACATTATGAATTTCTATCATTCCATATTTAGGCAGCTATTTAGAACTACTACGTAACTGTTAATGTATTTTGCAGCTATTTTTTTTTTATCAGAACTGCCATAAAACTGTTTTCTAACATTATCTCCCTCTTCATATATTCAACAAATACATGCCTCACTCACTAGACACAGTTGATTTCCCAACTAATTTTAACTCCCCCATTCTACATTCATTTTATAAGGAAATGTTGTTGAAAGCTTCCATGTTTCCAGGACAGAAGAAAAGTTTAATCTGCATGTCCTCTAAAACAAATTTCTTACAAATACCTGTGTGATTAACTGTATTTAAGGACTGCTTATTGTTATTGTTATCTGCTTTGCAGTACTGTCCCAAATTCTGCAGTCTAAGGCTTCTGTACCAACACAAAGCAAAAGATTATGTTCAGTTGTTGCATTCTTTAAATCAGACACAGTTTTATTAAAAGAGTGGATAGCAAGAAGGACTCACAGACAGAGGGAAAATGTTTCCATGAGATCTGAATGAAAATGCATAACAAGGAGGTGGGGGCAGGGGGGAATAACAGAGGGAGTAATCTGCAAGACTTCTTAGCAAGCAAATCTGCAACTTGACTTATGAGTCTATATAATACAGCTAAAAAAAAGGAAAAGCAGCAAAAAACGAAAGGGATTGCACTGGGTATTTAGGCAAGGAAAGAAATCTCTACAGTGGTCTCTTTCAAAGGAAGAAGGCAGAAATACCAGCATTTTTTTCTTCTGTAAAACATCCATATTTTTGTTATGCTTTCTGAACTTTGTGGACAAGGCCACCAGGCAATGACCATAAATTCACAGAATAGCTGGCAGATCTTTTCTCAAAAGTTTCCACTATAAATGGATGTGAGTGAAAGAGCATGAAAACCTGTACAGAGCAATTACCACAACAAAGTCTTCAGCTTTCTGAGGAGACTGCTTTTTCTCCTTTACTCTTACTGATCACACAATCTTTGTTTGGACAAGCAAATATACAGAAAGAGCTTGGTTTAACATTAATCCCAGTAGCATAAACAGAGTATCCAATAACAGGACAAACATTTCTCTGAAAATAAAACATTCTGCAACTAGAGTGAGACAGGTTCCTTGAAACATTCATTCTACTGTGAAATCTAACAGTGCCACTGACTAACAGCATGTGGGAACTCGGTTTGTGAAACACAGCAGCAAACAGTAGCACCCAGGTCTTAAATGTATCTGATTTTGATCAACAGCTTATACTTAAACTCACAAATAAGATGGAAGAAGCAAAGACCCTGCACTTGCCTATATCTCAGCACTATAAATTTTAACTTGTGATTAACCAAGGCAAGTGAAGTTCATTGCTACCCCACTGATCTTCAAGTTACCTTCACAATCTTTTTCCCATCTCAACAGAAAGTGTCCTAGAAACAACATGCAAATAAATACCTGGAGAACCAGAGCTGAAAGGTGAAAAGAAATCCTGGAGGAGTCAAAGAGAGAAAGGCAGATTTGGGAGATGATAGAAAGATGCAAATAGCACCTGGCTGTTGGCAGCCAGGAAAGACAAGTGCTGGCAAACACAACACAAATGGTAGAATGTGTTGTGCAAAGTGTTTCAACAGTACCAGTGAGGGTTGGAGGGGGAGAAATTATGTCAAGAAATTCAAAGATACCAACTTTTTTACCAGAAAGCTGATAGAATCAGCTCCACTCTGACATTTAACTTCAGCAAGTAGCTAAAAGATAATCCACACATGCAAGTTCATTTACAGAGCTCTTGCTACCTACCCCCATGCATACAAGCAATTTAGTGGAAAGAAAAAACCCAGCTATTAGATTTCTTTGTATATTTTTGCCTGTTCAATTCTGTAAGTGGTGAACAATGCTGCAAACACCATCTTCTACTAATCAAACCACATTTTTGCAATTAAATAAGTGAAACTATCTCAAAGACAGGTGCCAAGAGGATGGTGCCAGACTCTTTTCAGTGGTGCCCAGAGACAGAATGAGGAGCAATGGCCATCAACTAAAACACAAGAAGTTCCACCTGAACATGAGGAAGAACTTTTTTATGCCAAGAGTGGCAGAGCACTGGAACAGGCTGCTCAGGGAAGCAGAAAGACATTCCAAACCCACTTGGATATGTTCCTGTGTCACCTGCTCTAGATGACCCTGCCTTGGCAGGGAGATTGGACTGGATGACATCCAGAAGTTCTTCCAACAGTAATGGTTCTGAGATTCTGGGAAACCAAGAACTTCTACTCCACAGGGAAAGAAGTTCTGTGAGGACCAGCTACACGAGATGTCAGGTTCACACACTGAGCACACAGGTATTTCAATTGCTGGTCTGTTCTCTGCGTTTCAATCACCTCATTTTATGTGTATAAATCAGAGGTGTGTAAAAACTGTAATCCAGCTTACTACTGCTTTACCTTACTGATGGCTTAATCCAATCAGCATCACAAGTAAAATTGACTTTGTAAAGACATTTTTTAGTATTTAAACTAGCTATTTAGGAAAGTACTTGTATACATACACACACATATATATTTACCATATATCCAAACAGACAATGCACCAAACAATGCTAATAAAAGGCATCCACAGCAGTCACTTTTTAATGAATTAAGAAATTATTTGTCACAGACAATTTCCAACAGATGTTCTCTTAACTGCCTTATTTCTAATGGAATTTTTCAGGCAGGGTAAAAAGACAATCGGTTTTCCAACGCCTATCATGAATTATTTTGGAATGATACATAATTTGCTCTCATTTTAATGGGTGTTTACTGTTACATGCCATTAAGAGCATGTAAATGTCAAAGGCATATCCCTGCACAAACTGAAATTTCACTTAATTTTAAAGCAATTTGTTAACTCTAGTGAATATGAAAAATGTAGACGTCAAGAAGATGAAAGATTTTGTAACAATTTCCTGTTGATGATTTTTTTAAAAGTCTGGACTAGTTAGGCTATTTTTGTAACTCTCTTTACCATTCTATTTGATGATAACTGACTTATTTGGCTCTCTGATCCAGCAGCTAGGGCTGGAATCTGGCAAAGCTCTAGCTGAAATCCATGGTAATCCTGTGAACACAGTCTGCAAGTTCGAGCCCTTCAAAACTTTACAGCACTCAAGACAACTCTTGGCACTTCAAAGACTGACAGACCTATCTAACTTAGTCACTTTACACAATGCTGGCTTCAAAATCAATTCACAAAATACTGTCACGTGAGTTTCCTGAATGAGATATGAATCATGACTTCTAAGAACAGCAGTTCCATTTTTACTCGGACACTTTAACAGCTGAGAGAACTTCTTTTCTGCATACTCATTTTACTTGACGTCACATGTTTTACATTCACCATAGATACTCAAGAGGTCAAGTGTGTGAAGAGAGGCCTCATGCAGTAACTCTGTATGAAGTTAAGTGGCAGCAGTCAAGGACACATTTCTAGTCATTTTGAAAATCACAAAGATATTTCAAAGCTAAATGAACACTATCTCCTGCAAAAGACAGCACTGTTACTAAAGAGCTAGAGATGGCCAGTGATAGACAATTCCTTTCTAGGACGCAGAAGAACATTAATGAGCACAACAGTAATAGTCCAAAACATCTATTTGTTGCTGCTGTTGATAAAATGTCATAACATCCTGTTTCCAAGCACACAGTACGACAACACCTTTATTGCACATCTCCCTTCTCAGGACTCATTCTTTTATAAGAAAATAATTCTGGAATAAAGTTCAGACAACTAGATGTAGGCTGGAAAGGCAACCATGAACAAATTTTGCTTTGGTCATTACGATAAAACAAAAACCAAAACCAATAAGAGAGGGAGAGATAAAAGTCTTCAAATTAAACTGTCACTATTTCCACTGGAGTGCACTTTACAGTATTAGAGTAACAAGAAAATATTGTTAAATGTCTTCTGCCCCTCTGGTGATACTTCATGGGCTTCTAAAGCTGAAGGCCCTCAGTGAAGCAATAAAACTCCAGTTGCATTAGTGTCTTTCTGTTTGAGATGAAAAGCAAGACATCTACAGAAAGATCTGTGTCATCCAGTAGAAGCTGCTCTATTGTTAACACTTTTCTGTGACCACTCCATCCAAAAGTACCACCACATTCCCTACATCATAAATTAGAAAGGGGTTTCTTGCCCTCATTCTTCCTCCTGCTCTTAACTTCAAAACAGAAATTACAAACTAATTAAATTGAAATTTAAATAGCAACTTTATATGGTAATAGTTACCTTTGCATACATATGTAATATTCTCCCATGACTGATCTATTGTGCATTCTGAAAAATTCCTGTCTCCATTGAAATAATATCCTTCTTTACAGTGATAGTACACTCTGCTCCACAGAGTAGTAGAGTTGTCCCAGGTCATTGTTGTGTGTGGAATCAGCAAAGGTTTGCCACAGTCTATTTCTAGAACGGAGAAAACAGGAAAACAAAACCTTGAAATGAAAACAGGCAAGACATCAAAGTGTTAAAGATGGAGGGATGAACTGTCCCAGCAAGTTACACTTAATTTTTTCCACTTCTTAGAGATTCCTAGAGGTCAGGGAGTTAATAAGAACCCAGAATTTTGTGGCTGGAGACCTTCTAGCAGGGTGAGACATTTATCCTACAAGATGACCCATAAAATAAAAGAAAGTGTCCTGATTAGAAGTGGAGAGCAAGGATCTTTGAGCAAATTTTTATGAGTAAGTCTATCTTCCCACAACACTCTCTTATCAGCCACATGCTATTTATTCCTTTATTTTACCTACCATTAGTAGCAGTAGATATTAAAAAAGACACATGGTCCACGGAGTGTTGTGAAAGAACACCATCAAGAAGGTTATGTTCCTTTGTCAGTGGATCTAATTCAAGTTTGAAAAAAGATGCTGCTACAGACAAGATGAATGAGCAATTCTGAGGGAAAATTAGATAGATTATGCAAACCACTTTACAGATAATTAGAAAGCTGGGATAATTAACTAATAATTTAATTCATTTTCTCAGGTTTTGGGGACTGAATAATAAAAACAGGGAACAAAAATAATAAAAAGTGAAGATCAAATAGATGGAATATTATTATTTAGGGTAAAATCTGCGTTTCAATTTACAATGAATGTGAATCTTCAATAAAAGATTCTACACCACTTCAGTTATAAGAAGCAAACACTGTAGGATTAAAATCTTACCCTCATTAAAGCTTATATGGAGCAAAAAAGTTCTTTTAAATCCATTCAATAATTTTAAGTGATTCTGAAATTCTATTTTAAAAAAGGAAAGCAAAGAAGTAAAAACCAAAGCTTATAGAATCATGATCTGTACTATCTTTAAAGGAAAATATAAACATGCTTATTTCAATGGATAATACATCCACCATCATGACTACCTTCCTTTTCACACACCAATAAGTATGAATGTATCTACTATAAATAATGAGAACAAGCCTTGGAATAACTAATGCACGTGGAAGCATGTGCTTAGCTCACGCAGTATGCAAAGAGACACAGTATGCAAAGAGACACAAAAACTCCTCCTGTTCCAGCTACCTGCCCATGGCCATTCTGTAAGCAGACTGAAATGCAGAAGCACATTCTTGTGTAACATTGCAAACCTTCTACTTAGACTCATGACTCAGAATAAGAATATTAAAGGTCATTCTAAAAGTGGAGAGTGGCTATTACATACACATGAAGCATTCAAAAAAATTACTACATTTGATTGCAATAAACTGAAGGCTTGATCGTGGATCAAGCTGAAAAAATATTGCTTACCCAACAAGTGGAAAAGTGAAGCTGTGAAAACTGAATAAAGAGTGTAATTATTCTAAAATCTCCTTACTAAGAATATGAGCCCAGATTATTAAAAAAAAAAAAAGGAAAGGTTTTTTTTTATCTGTCTCGCCATGATTCCATGTTATTGAGGAACTCTTTAGGCTACATTCCTCCAAATCATAGCACTGTAAGGGACTTGACTCAAATACTATCTCAAATAGCAACAGCATGTATAAGCAATCATAATTTGCAGCTGGAAACTGCCCAAATACAGGAATTTTGAAGGTATGTTAATAACTAATAGCAGCTTGATTTCTGATAGTGGCTTCAACTTCTATCAGAAAAGTAGAGTGGATATTGAACTGGAAAGAATGTCAGCAATTTAAGCTGTATTTTCATTTTATGGTAATCTCAATGCCTGACACACATTGGGATTACATTCTTGGAATGTTAACTTTTAACAATTTATTACAACTTCATTAGCAACACAGATTAAAAAAACCACTCTGTTCAATATATGGGTTTTGTTTTGTGACAACTTTCTATGTCAGAAGACTGTATAAACTGAATGCCCAAAGAGGATGACTGATATTTATTACAATGACTTAAACAGTATCTCTGCTACACAAATCAGAAGGCAGACTGTCTGTACCTTTGCACACCAAATCAGGGCCATCCCACTGTCCTTTGGCATTGCAGACTGCAGTGCCACTGCCGCCGGCCATCAGGTACCCATGAACACAACTGTAAGTCACTTCACTTCTGTATCTGGTCTCACTCACAGATGTTGGACGTGCATTCAAAACAGAAGGTGGAGCCCCACAATCCACACCTGAGGAGATGAAGGAAGGGGAAGATAGACCTGTTAGTCAACAGGAGCAATGGCAGCTGCACTCACATAAGTATTTTTTCATCTTTACCAGCTAACCCTCTTCTCCTGTAGTAATACAACATTTCCTCGGGTCCTCTGCAATATTCCCACTTTGACTGACAGTGCTGTAGCTACTCCAAACATCTACTTCCAAGTAGAAGGACACTTTTCTGTGTTTCTCTCAGAATAGCATGCTAAAACCATTACTCCCTCCTCAGTCAAGCTGATTGTATTCAGAAAAGTCATGCTTTTCTTCTGAATCTTTAGACTCCCCTGCTTCTACAAACCTGATTACATTGGATAAGGTGGTTCTATGCTATTCAAAATGAGCAACACTCAAAGGAAAGCCAATGAGCAGAAACTGCTTTTAGAAAACACAACTTTTAAAAGTTTACAAAAACTATAAAAATAATGTAAAAATAACCTTTTCTAACCACAGAAAAGGTTACAACATACAATATAAAAGTTTCCTGTTAAAGCAAGAGCTTAAACAAAGAATTCAAGTAGCAAACACACAAACACACAAAGAATTTGTTAAAGATACATTTACTAGTATTAAAAAGAACCAGACTCACTGGTTTCAGAAAGATAAGTCCTAATTGAAAAGGACTTGCCACAACTTTTAAAAGTTTACAAAAACTATAAAAATAATGTAAAAATAACCTTTTCTAACCACAGAAAAGGTTACAACATACAATATAAAAGTTTCCTGTTAAGGCAAGAGCTTAAACAAAGAATTCAAGTAGCAAACACATACACACAAAGAATTTGTTAAAGGTACATTTACTAGTATTAAAAAGAACCAGACTCGCTGGTTTTAGAAAGATAAGTCCTAATTGAAAAGGACTTGCAATACAAGGAGGAAATAAGTTTGACATTTTAGACTTTTGGCTGTTTCTTGGTGTATCATGTGTCTTATTTCAATTAACCATAAGAAACATGCTGAGAAAGTCTGACCTGGCCTATTGTTTGATTGTAGAAATTTTTAAAAAATCACATGAAAAAGCAACTTCTGAAAAACATTAACAAAAAAAAAATATCAACAACTTGCAAGAGTTACATTACACAATCTTCCTCTAGAGACCACTTGAGACTGGGCACTCCCTTTTTGTTTTCAAATTCATTGACTTAATTTTTTTGGGGGGGGAGAAAGTGTTACTTGTATTGTTTAAAAATTGTTTTATCTTTTCTTTCTTATGAATTTTTAGTGACAGTTAATATTTTGCTTTTCCAAGCCACACTGTTTTAGCACCCTTATTTTAATTTATTCACTTCTCATAAATGCTACATTTCTGTCCATTCTTGGAGGAAGAAAAAGAAGAGAGAGAGAAGGGGAAAGAATTGGAAAGAAAGATGACTGTTTCAGAGAAAGAATGAATTCTCCTCACTAAGTGATGATTTCCAGGATGGCAATTCTCCCCTATAGAATTGCTATACGCAGTGTGTCTTCTGTTAGCTAGTGCTTCAAGTATAGCACTATATATACTGATACAAAGGCTTTCTAACTACTCACAGGAACACAAAAAGAATCCTGCACTCATAAGCAGTAATATTGCCAGAGAATGGATGATTAGAACACCAAAGCAAGTACATGTTTTAAAGACAGTCATAGGAAACTTAACTCTTCAGAGATGTTTAAGTGTTTGTTCATGCACAAATATTCTTAAAATTATGAAGATTACCCAGAGAAGAGGAGTGCTATGATGCCCTATTTTGCATCTACAGCAAACCTTCAGACAAAAGTTCACAAGGTGTCAGGAAAATTGATGTTTTCATGAGAGGTCAGTGATGCCTTTCAACTCAGTAGTCTTTCCCCTGAAATGCTAAAGAAATCTAGTTGTTTTCTAGGCCTCAGCTCACAGGCAGAAGGACACACTTCAGTGTCTGTAAACATGCAGGGACCAGCATAAAAAATGTCACTACACTAAAGAAAAAGGTAAACAATAATATGTCCTTTAATTTTCTTCTTTTTCTGCAAATAACCAGATCTTGAAAAAACACTTCCAGATTGTGGAAACTGTCTACTATCATTACAAACACTTCCCATGCATGAACCCCCTTAATGAAGAATTTAACAAAAATGTAAGACTCTTTTCACCTTTACAGCTTAAAGTAGCAGGTTCCCAAGTTGCATTTGCAGTGCAGTATGAGAACTTTCCTTCATTGCTGTAAAAGCCTTCTTGACACTCATAATGAACTGCACTTCCTGGTAGCAAGCTGTAGTTCCCCACGATGTAGCCATGCTTCATTTCAGGAGGGGAACCACATCCGATTTCTGCAAAGAGACTGGGTTGAAAGATCTCACAGTACATAAATCACAACACTTGACCTGTTTAAAACCAGCTAAACTAGATGGTCACATCCCAAAATACACCTGATCTGATGAATCTGAGGGCTTACTAAAGAGGCGGAATAATAGATTTGAAGAATTGTCCTGGCCACAGTTGGAGGAACACAGGAAAGCAGTTATTGAGCTACACTTTTACTAACATACAGCTGGAGCCATTCACAACAGCAAAGATGAGACACTGCAATGTGATGGTGCTTTGCTTGGGCCAGTCTCATTACAGCGACGGCTGAATGACACTTCAACATCACAGGAGAATTTCAGGTCTCAACACACAGCTTTATTTCCCTGTGCATGGGAAAAGTGAAGCACTCTGCAGCAGATAAATTGAAATGAAATGTTCTGCCCCTCAAATCCTTCATCTCATTGAAACAGCCTGCATACAAAAGCTCCACTCCTCCAGCACATCTGCTTGGACAGGGCTCCCTTGTGCAACTCTGCAAGAAATACAATCGGTACAAACACTCCACCACAGAATATGGAGAGGCCAGTCAGTGAGATAAGAAGCAGGGTTATCAGCAATTCTAGCAAACAAAGCGGAGCACTCCAGTCAGAAAAACTGAGCAGTTACAGGCTGTGAGCTGTACTGATGGTTCTGGCAATAATGCAGAAATAAAAGCTGAATATAACCTGGGCAGCTCCTTCCACCTGGGATGCCTGTGTTCATTATATACTCTGACATCCATAGCTCACACTGCTAGCAGTTTGCATCTGTGAAAACTGACAGTAAAGACAGATTTTCAAATTGGAAACTTGGTTCTGTTTGGTTTTTTTGTTTGTTTGTTTGGGTTTTTTCTTTTGTTTTGTTTTTGGGGTTTTTTGTTTGTTTTTTGTTATGGCAACTTAAACTGAACTGTTTATTTATTCTGCACAGGAGGCACAGTATGTAATAAATTATTAAATTGTTATTTTATTATTCCTGTCCCCTCGGCTTTTTTCATTCATCTAACCTCTCTTCTCAGCTATTTAGTCTCTCTTCTCTTCCCCTTTATGTGGTGTGATTATATAAACAACTGGATTACAACACACTTCCTTTCTACTCAGAAACTAACTACATTACTTTCATAACATTATCAAGCTTCTCTGACCCTGCACATCTGAAGCACTGCTAAGAACCTGTAGGAATATCTGGTGTTGACTCCAGGATCCTGACATCACTGGAACAAACAACACAAGAAGAGAAAAAAAAAACATACAGCAAGCAAAGTCCAGCGAAATGGTTTCTGCCCTGGAGAAGCACAGGCCAGAACACGCACTACATTGTGGTGCAACATGTGATTTTATCTGCTAGCAGAAACAGCATCCAAAGATTCTCACCTTTGCATGAAACTATGTTTCCATCTTGACGAAAAGAACGCTCTCCAGTTTCTAATTTATAACCATCATTGCAGTAACACATGTAGCTTCCTTCAGTATTCACACACCTTGCATTGTGACCACACAGCCCAGACTCCTCACATTCATCAACATCTAAAAATTCAGAGAAAAGTAGATGCGCTTCATAATAGGGGGTTTTGTTTTAATTCATTAATAAAGGGCCCGAGCTTAACTCTTCCTTGAAGAGTTCTACATAGCTTCTCACAGCTCTCCTAGGAAAACAAAGGAGCTTATCATTGTCTCATCTTCAAGCGTGTGGAAAGAGGACTGTTGCAATTTTGTCACTAACTATCTTTAGAATTACTGCTGGTTTACTTGACAAATAGTTTCCAATGTTATATGCTGTTCAAACAATTCCAGAAAAATCCTGTATCTGGACACCTCTTAAATGGTTACAACAGTTCATCACTAACAAGAAACTGGCTAATATTCTACACTAAACACAAAAATTACAATCTGGTGAATTTTAAGTATCATCCTATTTTGTTAATCTAGCTGCTGCTGCTTCTTCTGAAAAGGTCATTGTTTGAATAAGATTGTGAAGCAATGATTTGTAACATAGCAGAATTCAAAATGGAACTAATTCATAGCTGTTAGGAACCTGAATGTCAAACAAGCACATCAACAACAGAAGTTCTCTGGTATAGTGTCAGAAAATAAGTTCTACAGTGATGGCAAAAAAAAAAAATTTAAAAAAATGTGCAGTTCTGGATTTATCATGCCTAGGGTTCTTTGTGATGTCTACCTGTACAGTTTGTGCCATCATTGGGAATAAATGTCTTGTTGTTGTTGGAGGCTCGGTATCCATCAAGGCAAACACAGTAAAAACTTCCATGTGTATTATGACACAGGGTATGATTTCCGCAGATCTTGCTGGCTCCAATCTGGCATTCATCTTTATCTGTCAGGACATTTAAAAAACATCAGAGAGAGATTAAGAAAAGTGGGGTGTCCTGCCCTCCTCACTCAGGCTCAAGTATCCAGACTTCTCCTTGCTGATTTCCTTTATAAATTATTTGGGACACAAACACTGCTGATAAGCTGCAGAACAACTGAAATGCCCCTGGATGAAAATGTGAAAACAGTTTTGTGACACAGCTTAAGTTATCTAAGAGTCTAAGAGCTGCTGAAAGCAGAGGGCCCTGCTCTCTCCTTCCACTCTTCCTTATGGTGTACTCTGATTACAGTACCTCATGGAACACCTGGGTGGGGGAAATCCCAAGCACAGCAACAGTCTGGGTAGAGAATGGATCAAGAGCAGCTCTGCTGAGAAGGATTTGGGGGTGTTGGTGGGTGAGAGGCTGAACTTGACCCGACCATGAGCAGTCAAAGCCCAGAAAGCCAAACCTGTCCTGGGCTGCAGCAAAAGCAGCGTGGGCAGCAGGGGAGGGAGGGGATTCTGCCCCTCTGCTGTGCCCTGGTGAGAGCCCACCTGGAACCCTGCATCCAGCTCTGGCGTGCCCTACATAAGGAGGACACTGACCAGGTGGGGCAAGTCCAGTGGAGGCCATGAAGATAATCATGGGCTGGAGCACGTCTCCCACAAGGAAAAGCTGAAGGGGTTAGGGGTTGCTCAGTCTAGAAAAGAGAAGGCTCTGAGGAAGCCCTTATTAAGCCTTCCAGTACCTAAAGAGTATTTTCAAGTAAGCTGGAGAGGTACTTTGGACAACATCCTATAGTTCTAGAACAAGGGGGAATTGCTTTAAACCAAAAGAGGATGGATTTAGATTTGGCACTATGAAGAAATTCGTCATTGTAAGGGTAGTGAGGCACTGGAACAGGTTGCCCATAGAAGTTGTGGATGCCCCAATGCTCCATCCCCGAAAGTGTTCAAGGCCAGCTTGGACAGAGCTCTGAGCAACTTGGTCTTGTGGAAGCTGTCCCTGGCCACAGCAAAGGGGTTGGAACTGTGTAATTTTTAAGATCCCTTCCAACTTGAAGCATTCTATAGTTTTTTGTTTTCCTACAACAAGATACCTAAACTCTGTGCAGCATCCAGCAGCTGCCAGTGCTTTGTGAAAGAAGGGTAAGAGACAGGGAGGAGGAGATCACTGGTGAAGAACCACCCCCTTTGAGCACTGGTAAGCTATTACAGACACTGAGGCACAGCGTTTGACATTGTCCTTTGATTTACATATTGATATGAGATAGTCTCAGAAGGACATTATCAGCCACAGTAACAAAACGTTAAACAACACTTCTGAATATGTACAAGTCTTTTGGTGAGGAAAACCAATCCAAATATATTCTATGGGAGATTCTTCCAGGAAATGACCAAGTTTTTAGCATGCTTAGAAGAATTCATTAAAATTACTTGAGAAGGAGCATTTTAGGAATTTACAGTTTCTTTCCGTTTTATAAGCAGGCAGCCTACCTTGACAGTGGGTTCTTCCATTGCCTACAAATCCATAATTGCAGATACAAACACTTTTTCCTCCACTTTGCTGACATGTTGCATGAATGTGGCAAGTTGCACAGACATCGGGAATGGATCTGTTCACAATTACTTTAAGGACAAAAAGGCAGCATTACATTTTTTAAAGTAGCTTACAAGTTCCATGGTAGGAAAAAACAGCACAGAACTGAAAGTGGAGATAACATCCAAATTAAAACACCTCATTTTAAAACTTGTAGGAAAACCACAGCTATTGTATTAAAAGACTAAAGATGAAAAAAAAAAACAGAAAAGATTAAACAAATAACTACACTGAGCATTTTTGTCCATCCTTCTCTTCTCTGACAGCAAAGAAAAGATCTTTTTGGCTTTCAGAAAGGTTTAGAAGGCATACAGTAGGTAGGTCTATCCAATGTTATTAATCTTTGGTTCATATGCATTTGTTTCTCTTTTGTCTTTATTTCTGTTTCCTCTGTTTTGCTGTGCTTCCTTCTATTATTTACACATAGACATTTGGGATACTTATCAATCTGTTTGTATCAGTGTCAATATGGTAAAAATGTTATTCCATAAAAATGTTGCTAATGTTGCTAGGAGTAAAATTACTTACAGTAATTTTAGAAATTAATTGATATTAGAAGGGATTGAGAAGCATACAACCCAATTTACCATAATTTGACAGGGCTGCAAATATACATGAAATTAGAATACAATAGGTTTTTTTTCTTTGCATTCATACTTTCAGGGCATTATGTTACTTTTCCTCCATTTTTATAAGCTCTTTTTGTTATCACACATACCCTCCATTTCCAAATGACAAATGTGAGAAAGGATGGATGTGATATAGACAAAGCATGCGTATGCCGATGCCTTGTTACATTTTAAAATAAAGAACTAATACTGCACAAGCTGATGTCTGATGGAGGTTGACACAGAAATTTGGAATATTTTACTTTTCTAAGACAGCAGAAATTGAAAAGAATACTACCATCACTGTATATTTAGCATCTCTGACAAAATTTTGACTACTCTACAACGTCTAAGTACATAATCATAACTGGAAGGAGAAGGCAGCTGAATGCTCTAGTATTTTTTTATGTATCAAATTTATCACTGTGATAAACTGCCCTTCCACATGCACAAGGTTTCAGTTTTTTCAGGGTTTTTATGAGTGCCTTAAGGCTGTGGGAAGCATCACTGATTCCTACTCCTAATTATTCATGCTTTTATAAACTTCTGTATGTGTGTGTTTCTGATAAGAGAGGAAAACAAAAACTGCCAGCATGCAATGGCAGCCAACACAGATCAGAAAATTTAATTTACAGCCATGGAGAGAACTTTCTCATGATACCTCTGATAAGACATGGGAGTATCCTCCTCAGATTGCTGCTTCAGGAGATGTAAAAACGTGTTTCCACCCCCCGCCTCCCCTTACTAGTACAGCTGACATTTTATTACTTATTTGCCCTCCACAACACACAATTTATCATGCCAGCACTACGGTCCCCTCAGTGTTTTTGGCAGGTAGGACCTCCAGGGACACGAGGTCGCTGTCACCATGTGCCGAGGAGACACACAGCCAGCGCACAGGACAGCACCCGCCACGGCCACCTCCGCCGCCACGCCACGGGCACCATCACCACCAACCACTGCGGGATGCTCCCCAGCACCGCCAGCTGCCTCCAGCGCCGCCACCACGTGCTGCTCCGCCACCACGCCACGGCAGCCCGGACGCGCACGCCAGCGTGGGCTGCCCCAGCACCGCCACCAAGGAGCGCTCCGCCGCCACCACGGGCTGCCTGTGCCACCGCCACCGAGGGCACCCGTCCAGCCGGGCCCCTGACCCCGCGCTGGGGCTGGCGCTGCCCTGCAGCTCACCGCGCCCCGGCCGCCCGCACTCACCCCGCGCCAGCAGCGCCGGCAGCAGCAGGAGCGGCAGGAGCAGCGCCAGCGGCGGCCCCGGGGCCCCCCCG